TGTTGGACTGAACTGATGCCACCCTCCTTTGCTAATCTTCCTGTAAGGCACAATCCTAAACTAAACCTCCTGGAAATGGAGGGTTTCTATTGTCTCGTGGGAAGAAAAGCAGTCTAGGGAAGCTCAAGAAAGGGGTTTGCAGCTGTAGCTTGGAGCACAGGGCGCTGCGGGCAGTATGGCTGGACAGCCCGGGCTGAGCGGAAGCAACCAGCTCAGGGTGGACGGCACTCAAGGCTGAAATAGCATTTTAACTTCAGAGCACTGATGCGGTTTTTCTTTGCTGCCTTTTCCAACCACTGCTTCTGTGTCCTACCTGAGGCCTCAAGAATGTTGGGATTTTCTGGCATTTTTCTTGCTGCCCTGCCCCCCACCCCGCCTCCATTCTACTGTGCTGAGTGGTTGTGGAAAAGAGATGAGGTCTCCAGATATTGACCTGTGGACCCTCTTTACTCTTGATGATTCCTTGGCCCTCGTGGCTTCTGGAACCAAAGACGTATGAGTTTCTACTGCAGCCTTAGCAAATATTCTTTCCTACTCCTGAATGGTGTCTGTCATGTGCCTGAGGGACAGGGGAGAGGTCTACAGATAGAAGGACACAGAAACCTCCGGAGAGGTGCTGGCAGCCAGGGGGCCCCTGCACCACCCGCCTCCCTGCCTTGTCAGTCGGTTTTTTTGTACGCCACGCCAGGTGACAGCCGTGGACGAGGCAGCTACACACACCTGCGTGGACTGCTTATTGCATTATCCATTCCGGAAGGCCTGAAAAGTCTGGCTGGGGGATGGGGCGAAAGGAGAAACTCTCCTCTTGCATATAAAACTATGCGTCCATTTAGAAAGACAAAAGCTGCATTGGTACAGCCCTTCTGGAAGGATCTATTCTCTCAAGCCAGGGGCAGTCACAACAAGACTGACCACTGGAGGATTACAAGGGGCATCTCTCCTGCATGGGCCAAGCAGACACACTTCTGCCCAGACACTTGCTTGTCCCATGGGTGGAATGTGGGGTGTAGTGTCCCTTCTGGCCACTGCAACCATCTCTGAGGGGCGTATGGACGCTCCCCTGGAGGCCAGGTCCGAGGGCTCGGCTGGGACTAACCTTATTGGTTCTCGTGCATAGGACCTCGATGAGCACTGCCTCGTCCGTGCCCAGGCCCTCCATGGCTCTCTGCAGCAGTCGGGCGTCGTATTCACTGGGGCAATCCAGAAGGGCCAAGGCTGTCTTCTTGAAGTTTCCACTTAGCTCATTCTTGAGCACTTCCTCCAGATCCTGTGAGAAGACAGCGTGAGCCCTGAGTAGGAATGGCCCAAGAGGGGAGGGACGGTGTCTGTCTGCTCTCCTCACCGCTTGGCCTCAGAGTTGACAGGAAACCTGTCTTGGAAACATGGGGGTAGTCTAGACTGGAGCTCTGCAGGCACGAGTGACCTTCTCTGAAGGGCAGTGGTCACCCTGATTACCCCTGCGTCTTCCTCCAGGACTGGCAGAGAGACGACCCCCTGCTCGGGGCTGGAGACCCCAAAGATGCATCACAATAACAACCAGTGTTCGCGGAACGTTTTGGGATTCAGAGAGCCCTTTCTCACCGATCTCCACACAGCCCTGGCGGGAGGCGCTTTGGCATTATTTCCGTTTATCGACCTCAAAAATGAAGGACTTGTCCCTGAACACCCAGGCAGAAAGGACTGGAATACAAGTATGTTATCTTTAGGGGGACCAGATCATTCGTCACCCGAACAGGAATGCTTTTGAGAGTGGAAGGGGCATTATTAATAATTGCAGGGGACAATAGGAATAAATAGGGACAGTTCTGGGCAAACCAGATGTGTAGTCACTCTGGTGATCACGTTAATCCTGAAAGAGACACTGTCATAGTATCACTATGCTTGTATTTAAATAACCCTTATTTTACTTAATAATGCCACATTTATGTAACTTTTATTACTGTATGTTGTTATAATTGTTCTATTTTATTATTAGTTATTGTTGTTAATTTCTTTCTTTGTCTAATTTATAAACTATCGTAGGTATATGTATAGGAAAAACATAGTATATTATATGTAGAGTTTGGTACTATCCACAGCTTCAGGCATCCACTGGGGGTCTTGGAATGCATCCCCTGAGGCTCAGGGGGCCCTGCTATATACACAACTGCAAAGAAAAGAAATCCAGCTGTGTACCCTTCTAAGCCACAAGCACGAAAACAAATCCTTGTGTGTTTACATTCTGTTTGGATACAGAAGCCAGCTCAGGAAGCCTCAGCTCTGATCCTGGTTTCCCTGCTCACTAAGTGTGTCACCTTGGGATGGCTACTGTCTTTGAAGCGCAGTTGATGTGGAGACTTAGATTTGTTTGTCTCTAACATCTTCCAGCTTCGCGATGTCATGATTCTAGATCGCCTCTCTGGCGGTCACCAGAACAGAGCTGAGAACTGGAAAATGGCAAATGATCGGCAGATGTTGGTACTGCAAAGTTTTGTGCTGGCGCATGTCCACTTTACCTTTAGCAGAGTCCTGAGGCCCTCGCTTCAAACCCATTTACTCTTATTTCACGCTAAAGTTGAAGAAGCCTATATTCGCCTTTCCAGATTGTTGGGGTGGAAGTAGATACATCGCTTGAGAGGCTGCCACACTTAGGCACACTGGCACGGATGAAAGCTCCACATCATTCAATTCAGCTACATGCGGCTGAATTGAAGATTCACTTATTTTGATCAGTGTCATCAGTGAATGACATCGACAAAACTGATCGTGAAGAGAGACACTATAAAAACGATGGAAGTACAGCCATCTGCGCCACTTGGGGTATAAACAAATAGCTCTTCTCATGGCCACGGGTTCTCTAGGAGTGAACACTGGCCCTAGAGTCAGGAGACTTGGACCCGAGTCCTGGTTCTCTTTCTTAGCACGTGTGTGATTTTGCGTAAGTCATGTCAACGGACGAGCTCCACTTTTCCTCTTGGTAGAAGAGAAACGTCCACACCTAGCATAGCTTCCCTTTACTGGTGTGTGCTGGCATGATCCTACTTGATTCTCCCAGGTAAATTGTCATTTTCATTCTATATATGTTGAGACAGAGGCCTAAAGAGATTGTCACCTGCCCACTGTCAGATAAGTAAAAAATATCCATCTCTGCTTCTCTATTTATACACAGAATGATTGAAACTATAAAGGTTTTATAAATGTGGATTAGATATAACACAATAACCAATATTCATTTTGCGTACTTATCATTCTACTGACATTAAGAAAATGTTAAATCGTGTTCATTATTAATACATTATAAAGCCTAAGGCATACTTCAAGATTTCTATACAAATCTATACACCATCAACAATGAAAAATGTGAAAGAAACAATGAGAAAAAAAGGTGTTGATGCTTAATGAAATGAAGTGGTTTTTTAGTTTTCTGAAATAATCATTTATGACGAAGATATTATTCTTGAAGACAGCCGAATAAATGAAGAATTCTTATATAAAGACCCACCAGTGAATACTGGTTTACAAATCACTGGCCTGTCTGTAAGTTAATATGTAGAATTAGTCCAAATGAGTAGAAAAAATGACAGAGGGATTAATAGAAAAACGAACTCGATTTAAGTTAATATGTAGAATTAGTCCAAATGAGTAGAAAAAATGAGAGGGATTAATAGAAAAATGAAGTCGATTTAAAAAATGAGCTAAAGAAAATTGATTTTATAGGCTATTACGTTCACAAGGCAATTTCAGTTTTACTAAAGTCAATGAGAGTTTTAAATAGCTGTTTCATTTTTTTGCCTCTTGGGCTAACTCAGTAAAGCTGTACAGATCCTCTCCACTGCCTGGGGGACGTAGGAGAAGCCGAGACCGTCAAGGCCAAGGCCGCGTGCGTGTTTGCCAGGACCCTCGCAATCACCTTGCCATATGTTGCCTTGTACTTCTGCTTGATTTGTTGCCTCTCGTTCGATGTTCTGCTTGATAAGACTTCAATGATGGTTGCTTCGTCAGTGCCTGAAGTGCAGGAGAAAGAAAAAAAGTGAGAGTGAACGAGAAACAAGACGGAGGTTTATTTTAGTCGAGTGTGGGGAAACCACAGCCGTTGTCAGAGGCTGTGGAGGAACCCAGTGGACACTTTAGCTGTGGAGGACTGTATTCTTCTTCACTCACTTGACAGATCCATGGAGGCCTCCCACTGCATGAAGCACAGCGCTAGGCGTTCTGGTGGAAAGAGGAAGGAGCATGGCTTATCCCTTAACTCAACTCCTAGGTGTATGCTCAAGAGAAACGCAAACAAATTTCTACACCAACCTTGTACGCAAATGTCCACTGCAGCATCATTCATAATAGCCAAAAGCTGGCAATAACCCAAATGTCCATCAAACCGATAAACCAAATGCGGTAAATCCACACAACAGAACATTATTTGGCCAGAAAAAGGAATGAAGGGCCGATACATACCACAATATGAACGAACCTTCAAAACGTTATGCTACCTGAAAGAAGCCGGCACAGAAGGCCACATAATAATAATTCCATTCGTATCAAAGTCCTGAGTAAGGAAATCTATAGTGGCTGGGGATGGGGCGGGTAGGGGAGTGATAGCTACAGAGTAGCAAGTTTCTTTTTGAGGTGATGAAAATGTTCTAAATTTGAGACCATGATGATAGACTGTTCACTTAGTTGCCAGGATTAGTTCCACCTTTACCATTCTGAGAAGATCCAGCTCTTTGATTCGAACAGGAGAAACAGAACATTCTAGGCTGTGCTCACTTGTAAAAATAGTAGGGGTTAATGACCTGCCTCGTTCTGGTTCAGCTCCAACACTGATATTTATGCCGTTCCTCTTCATTTCCTCCTGCAGCTTCACCCACGTAATGTATATCTTGTTACTTCCTCTGTGACATTATTATTATTACTTTTTAACTTCTGGGCCAGCAATCTCACCTCAAAAGGGAATTCTTTTTCTCATAAAAATATATTGAATCCGCCCCTTTCTTTCCATGTGGGCTGCTCCGCCCGGGACTGGGGCCCTCACCTCTCAGGTCTGGACCCTTATCAATGTCATCCCTGCAAGGAGTCTTCCTGCCTCCCAGGTGGCCCCTTCTCTGTGTCAGCCAGGAATCC